CAGCCTGGGTACAGGGCTCCTTTCCTCTGGATGTTGAAATTCAATTGGGGGTGACTTTGGTAAAACTAGAATTTGTACTAAGAAGATGCAGAAGAATATGAGGCATGCACAAGTCACATAATATATAAAGGCCGGAAGTGACGTTGCCCGGTACTCCTTGCTGCAATGCTGTTCCTGATCCCTTTCACATGTGTGTTTGTCTGTGCTCACACACACACACACACACACACACACACACACACACATATATATATATATATATATGAAAAAGACTACTTTATTTTAACACAGATACAAGATATATACATTCAAGGGAACAACCCCCCTCGCTGCATGATGACACAAGGTGGGGCAATCTACCTTTAGTAACAAGAGACACACCAACAGACAGTCCCATCAGGAGGGAGGGCTGCTGGAAACACCCCCCACCAAGCCAATACACAAACACATACATTCCATAATAGTTTGCTCCCAAGCAAGACACGCAATAGAACAATGGGATGCAGCCACATGGCACCAAACAATCAACAACCCCCCCACGCTAATATTAGGACAGATCACCCTGTACCCCTAACAGGCACAGGGTGATTTATACATAAGAGGGATATGGGGAGCTGAGACAGGGGTCTCTCCACCTCTCTAAAGTGAGTTGTGTTCCATGGGCCCCCTATCCAAAGTGACTCCCCGTGTTTTGTCACTGCCCCACCTCCTGCCTCAAATCTGGATTATCTGTAACATTTATCATCAATGCACCACATATTTACTGGCCGGAAGACCCACTTTGTCAGGAGCAGGAGCTCGGACTTGGTCAAGCCCATAAGGGAGGGAGGGAGCCCCTACCTAGTACTTGGGTGGACCTTGGCTGGGCAGGTCCCCTGAAGAATAGGGTTGGTCTGATTTCAGGCGGATGACCCATGAGTATCCCAGTCCCCATCAGGAGCCTTGTGCCTCCAGGGATCAGGGCCAGGGTCCTTTCTCTTCTGAAAAGGACCATCTATACATCCTGTACACTTTTTGTGTGCTCTTCTTTTATGTGCTCGTTTTTTTTTTTTGTTGTACTGGGTGTAGTTTTGAGTGTGTGCATTGCACTGTAGCACATTACTTGCTCCCGCTTTAAAACGATACGCATTGTTCTATCAGGGTCCTTCCTCTTCTCTGGTTTTGGCAGTTGGTGGTCCTCAATGCAACAGAGAATGGGGCCATGATGGCCTTGGCTTACAGGAGAGGGTTGATTGAAGTTGGGTGGCCAGGAAGGACAAGGGGGAGGGAAGTTTTGGAGCCTGAAAAGGGCGAGTAGTCATTTTTTGCCATTTTCTTGGGTGGCAGAGATAACGGAAAAACTAGGGAAGGTGGAGCTGGGCTTTAACAATTGGACACATGCCGATGGGTACTTAACGACATCAGCATTTTTCAAACACCCAAAGGTCATATTTGGAAGATTTACTCAAGTGGGAACAGCTCTGGAACGGTCACAGATCTTGTGCCATTATAAACCACCCGGGGCTATATTACGGAAATCCTGACAACAGGAGCCACTAGGGGGTTCTGGACGACTAAGAAGGACTACATTACATAGGAGGTTACGCCTGCTGCTCATCCAATTCTTCACAGAATGGGAAACAAATGGCACACTGTAAAGCCAAGCACAGTCTGTTTGTGTCACACTGAATCCACTTGCATGGTGTAATGAAGCACCGTAATTATCACATAAATGGGAAACAAGGGGACACATTAGTTCTGGCTAAGTAAACTCACAAAATATTTGCAAATTGTTGCATTATTTTTCTTGTTTTGTTTTCTAATGGAACATTTGAAATCTGCTGTAGCAGATTTGTTCTGAGTGGTTTGCACTGAGAGGCGGCTATGGATCTGAAGGAGACATTTTAAGCTATTCAAAGACATGAGGTGACAGTTCCCCAATCTGTCCTGCAAGCAATCTTTTCACATCTTCCCAGATGCCATCACTCGACCATAGAACAGGCTAAATAAGAGGCCTTATGGTAAGTTCCTGCAGACGCGGGGTGATAGTCATTCTGGCTTTGTACAGGTGTCTATTGACATTAAATAAGTAAAACTAGTGACCTCTGATATCATGGGAGGACCCCTGATGTGAACGGGAGGGGGCTCTGATGTGCTGAGGAAACCTCTGATGTGATGGGGAGATCTCTGATGTAAAGGGGAGACCTCTGATGTGACGGGGAGACCTCCAATGTGACAGGGAGACCTCCAATGTGACGGGGAGACCTCCAATGTGACAAGGAGACCTCCAATGTGACAAGGAGACCTCTGATGTCATAGGGGGTCTGCATATTGGGGGAGCTCTGATGTGCTGAAGAAACCTCTAATGTGAAGGGAGTACCTCTGATGTGATGGGGGGGGATCTCTGATGTGAAGGGGAGACCTCTGATGTGATGGGGAGACATCTGATGTGACCAGAAGACATCTGATGTCATAGGGGGGCCACATATTGGGGGACCTCTGATGTGCTGAGGAAACCTCTGATGTGATGGGGGGATCTCTGATGTGAAGGGGAGACCTCCAATGTGACGGGGAGACCTCCAATGTCATGGGGGGCCGCATATTGGGGGACCTCTGATGTGCTGAAGAAACCTCTGATGTGAAGGGAGTACCTCTGATGTGATCGGGAGACCTCTGATATCATAGGGGGGGCCACATATTGGGGGACCTCTGATGTGCTGAGGAAACCTCTGATGTGATGGGGGAATCTCTGATGTGAAGGGGGACCTCTGATGTGAAGGGGAGACCTCTGATTTGATGGGGAGACCTCTGATGTGACCGGGGAGATATCTAATTTCATGGGTGGTGCACATTTGGGGGACATCTGATGTGATGGGGGGATCTCTGATGTGATGGGGGTACCTCTGACGTGATGGGTGGGACCTCTGATGTGACGGGGGGATCTCTGATGTGAAGGGTGGGACCATTGATGTGATTGGTGGGACCTCTGATGTGATGGGTGAGACCACTGATGTGATGGGTGGGATCATTGATGTGATGGGGGGAAACCACTGATGTGATGGGAAAACCACTGATGTGATGGGGGAAAACCACTGATGTGATGGGAAAACCACTGATGTGATGGGAAAACCACTGATGTGATGGGAAAACCACTGATGTGATGGGAAAACCACTGATGTGATGTTAGTTTCATCAATGTGGTTGTGTGCAGAGTCTCAGGCTCAGGTTTCCCATTGACATTTACATTATAGATTGGGGTACCTCAGGATTTTGCATGCTTTTAAAGGGTGCCACAACTGAAGAAAGGTTGAGAAATGCTGCAAACAATGGTGGATTTTCTGGCCATGAGAGCATGTATTTTTTAGGACAACCAGTGGTCATGGTAAGAGAAGAGGCATGAAGTTCCTCTTTAAAATGCTCTAATTCACATGAAGATCTTAAAAAATGGTGAAAAAGGCCTGAATTCCCTTTCAGTTCCGCCTGGCACACACGGCTGCAGTCCCCGGTGCTCCGAGGTTATTTCAGTTTAGAGGACAGTCCCTTTCCCCTTCTAGGATTCTGGTCACAGGTCTTGTTAGCAGTTTTCTCCGAAGACTCCAATGCCCCGGATTATTACTTTCCCGCCTGTTACAGTGTGTATTGTGTGTACATAGCAGCCGCCGGGATAAATGAAATTTATTATCCTTCTGTGTGAGAGCGGATAGCCAGTCTTTACGGCAATAACCTTCCCGACTGAAATGGTTTGTGCCCAAGTACGCCGCTTAAAACATCACTCTGCTCTGCGTTTACGAGAAAAAATTTCAGCAGATTATAAATATTAAATTAGAAACTATAAGATATCAAAAACCTCAGCAAATCAAATATTACCAAGCATGAGTGTGTTCATCACACAAATCATCAAAGTCATTAAATGTAACCTGAGCATGCTGGCGCTAATACTAGTAATCAAATCACGGGGTAACTCTTGCAGCAGAGAAAGAAATGAAATATCGACGTCGTGCTTTACAACAGTGGCCACAGTCAAAAAAAAAAAAAAAGAAAAGAAAAACAGCGGAAAACTGGCTTACAGTTACAATAAATATAATTTATAAGCTATAATTAAATTACGACTTAAAAATGTTCCATCTACAATAATTTAGGAGGTAAATACCAAAACACGACTTTTGTGCACCATGTTTCTCCTTTGGACCCAACAGCCATGGTGGACAGTAAACAAAAGAAAAAAAAGGGCGAACTCTCTTTGTGCATTACTGTGGTGAAACACAAATGTATCTTCATACTCACAAACCAAAGTGGGATAAAAACAGAAAAACAGAAAAATAATAGTCCAAAGTGACGGTAGACAGTTGGTGAAGTAGGTTAACGCATTTTGAGACAGAGCTCTGAAGGGAGTACGTCTCCCGAAACGCGTCAGCCTACTTCACCAACTGTCTACCTTCACTTTGGACTGTTATTACGAACTCTTCTTCTCTGTTTTTATCCCCCTTTGGTTTGTGAGTATGCATTATTGTTATTATTATACAGTATTTATAAAGCGCCAATAGTTCGCTCAGCGCTGTACATTGCAAAGGGGGACAGAACATGTGACAGAACAATACCAATACAATGCAAAACATGAGGGGCTTACAATCTAGGAGGGCGGGGATGGTGGCACAGGAGGAGATAGCTGTGGGGGTATGGATGGGGTGGTAGGAAGAGTGGATGAGGTTGGCAAGTTAGCAGGGGGTGGGGTAGGCTTCCCTGAAGAGGTGGGTTTTCAGGGTGCGCCTAAAAGAGAGGAGAGTAGGTGCTAATCTGATGGGTTGGGGCAGGGAGTTCCAGAGGATGGGTGACACCCTGGAGAAGTCCTGGAGGCGGGCATGGGAGGAGGAGACCAGGGAAGTAGAGAGAAGGAGGTCTTGTGAGGAGCGGAGTGTGCGTGTTGGGTGGTACTTGGATATTAGGTCGGTGATGTAGTTCGGGGCAGTATGGTGGACGGCTTTGTACGTCAGTGTTAGGATTTTGAATTTGATCCGTTGCACAATCGAATCCAGTGGAGGGATTGGAAGAGGGGGGTGGAGGACACTGAGTGGAGGCCAGTGGAGGGATGGCAGGGGGGGGTGGAGGACACTGAGGGAGGGGTGGAGGGATGGAGAGACACTGAGTGGAGGCCAGTGGAGGGATTGGCAGAGGGGGGGAGGCCATGGAGGACACTGAGAGGACACTGGAGGCCAGTGCAGGGATTGGCAGAGAGGGGTGGAGGACACTGAGTGGAGGCCAGTGGAGGGATTGGCAGGGAGGGCAGGGTGGAGGACACTGAATGGAGGCCAGTGGAGGGATTGGCAGAGAGGGGGGTGGAGGACACTGAGTGGAGGCCAGTGGAGGGAGATTGGCAGAGGGGGGTGGAGGAAACGGAGCGGTTGGTAAGGTGAATGAGTCTGGCTGGCCGCTGTGTTCAGGATGGACTGAAGCGGGATAGCCAGCGGCGAGGCAGGCCAGTGAGGAGGGAGTTGCAGCAGTTGAGTCGTGATATGATGAGGGAGTAGATGAGCTGTTTAGTGGTTTCTGGGGTTAGGAATGCGTGTATTTTGGCGATGTTGCGGAGGTGGAGTCTGCATGTTGCGGAGGTGGAGTCTGCATGTTGCGGAGGTGGAGTCTGCACGAGTTTGTTAAAGATTGGACTTGGGGCTGGGAGGATAGGTTGGAGTCCAGAATGACACCAAGTACTCTGGCCTGCAGGGCGGGTTTGATGGTGGCGTTGTTGGATGCATGTATATGCTTTTAAATAAATGTGTGTTTCACCACAGTAATGCACGAAGAGAGTGCACCCTTTTTTGCTTTTGTTTACTAGTACCAAGATTTCCAGATCTTCTAAGGGCTGCACCTCAACGCATGGCATTTACAGAAGGTAAATACCAAAACAGGACGTTTGTGCACCATGTTTCTCCTTTGAACCCAACACCCATGGTGGACAGTAAACAAAAGCAAAAAAAGGGGCGAACTCTCAAAAGCGCTGAAGATGGGAGTACATCTCTCAAAATGCGTCAGCCTACTTCACCAAGGGTCTACCGTCACTTTGGACTGTTATTACGAACTCTTCTTCTCTGTTTTTATCCCCCTTTGGTTGGTGAGTATGCATGTATATGCTTTTAAATAAATTCATGTTTCACCATGGTAAAGTCAGAGCCTGGACTGAGCAAAGCTAAAAGGGAGAGCCAGCATGACTGGGGCGTGCAGATGAGGTGGAGCGTGCATTTTGGGTGGGAGTATATGCAGGAGGTAAGGGGGTGGTTAGTCACCTGATTGGAGTACGCAACCTTGAGGTGTGGTCTTGCCAGGATTAGGAGGTGGGATGGGTCTTGTCGGAGGTCAGTCGGAGCTTGTGTCAGCACTGGGGTGGTTTCTCCCACCCTCCCTCCCTGGAGCTTTTCGTGTTTTGTTTTGCTGTTTTGGTTATGGTTTGTTCTTTGTGTTTGTCCTGTGGTTTGTTTTTGTGTGGGTTCCTTGAGTTTGTTTCTTGTCTGGAAAGGCATTTGTGTCCTGAGGTGTTTGTTTGTTTTGTCATGGCAGCCGGCAGGGGTCGATGGGTCTTTGAAGGTGGTGCTGGAGTGACAATTTGGTGGATTATGGGTTGGGCCCATCGTAGGTATGGGTGTTCCTTCCCAATTATAAGGTCACGTTGGTAATGGTTCATTGGCTGTATCTAGGACTACGTAACCATAGTATTGTCCCCGAGGCGGTGTAGTAGCAGCTGGGGGACTTTTTATTGGGTGTCAGATACAGCCGAGTTTTCGATGTATCGATGCCTTCGCAGACCTTTGACCCGGTTGGGATCATTACTGTCAGTTATTATTTGAGTGTACTGTAAGAAGTGTTATGTTAGAGTTATGTTAAATAAATGGCTGCTATGGCCGGTTTTACACCAATAGAGAGTCGCGTGTTTATTTAGGTGGGAAAGGTTGAAGGGTGGTGGTGGTGGTTTTATGGATTAGGGGTAAGTATTAGCCTCGATATTCTGCATGTCCAACAGTCATGCACGAAGAGAGTGCACCCTTTTTTGCTTTTGTTTACTAGTACCAAGATTTCCAGATCTTCTAAGCGCTGCACCTTAACACATGGCATTTACAGTTATCCTAGTCTATTTGAAGATTTGAGCGCTCGTTTTCTTTGTTTATTTGGACCATGGTGGACAGTATTTGTATCTTCTGAACCCATGTGTTAGCGGGCCCCCGATTCGTCACCGGCAATGGTCGTGCCAGCCCTTGGCACTTCCTTTCTGTTCCTGACAGGAAGGAAATGAGGTGGTACCATACACCTGCAGAATGGATGGATTCCGCCATCTTATTTACTTGCTAACTTCTGGTTAGATGCCCACTCAACAGTTCTCCCCAGTACACAAGTTCTTCTCTTATTCTTCCACCCGACAATAGCATTACTGTTAAGTCCAAGCTCATTTTTAATGGGGAAATGCCAACTAGTGCTTCCACTTTCCTCAGCCGTAGGTTACCTTGAATGGGTTCTTCAATGGGACCTACATCAGGCCTACCCCGAAGGGCATATTCCAACTCTTTCCATTACCTCCGACAATAACCTAACTCTTCCAACCCAGATTTATAAAGGAATAAACTAGCCCAGCCCAGTAGTGTTCCCTGGCTGGGGAATATCTGTTTAGATCCTGTAGCCCTGGATGGGAGGATAAAGACAGAATGAAAGTTGCCCCTTGGATAGAAGGTGCTAAGAAACCACTGCAAGAGACTGTTAATGCCTCTGTTATCCATGCAAGAAATTTATGAAAAGTATTGAAAAAGTATCGGACTTGTGTCTCCTTCTATGGCCTATTTTACAAAAGTACCTGGCTCTGTTAGGAGAATAGAGGGCAAAGACAGTATGTGGTGGTAACTCTTATGGAACTGCATGGTTATGTGCTCCCTTTGGGAGCTGAGATTTACTCTGAGGAGGTGCACAGAATGGTAGCCCTGTCAGTGGTAATTAAAAATATCCATGTCTGGTTGTCCTTGCTACCAGGTGCGGTGGCCTGGCAAGCAGCAATTGAGGAAATTGATTATGTGGCAAGGTGGGAGGGGAAAATGATAAATACACCCCGATTCCTACAATACTTTAAGGGTGCTAGTGGTTGGACTGGAGAGGCTCAGTGTGACTCCCCCACTTGCCTTCTTCCACCGGGCAGGAGTGAGCCTTCAGGGAGGTGGACAATGGAAATAAAGTCCACAATGGGAAATATAGTCCACAAGGAGTGCTGTTCAATGGCAGCTGAGCACTTCAACACCCAGATTAGTGGAGAAGACAAGACTTTTCTGAGGTAATTCACTGGACCTTGGGGCAGTCTAGTATAGAGAGGAAGAGAGTGCAGACCAGCTGCTAGGGTCTGTAGAACACACCAGACAAAAAGAACCTGCATGGAGTCTGGGGTGCCCCTTTGTTGGTGTTCTGTGTGCCCAAAGAGCCAGAGGACTGAGCCGCTGTAAGATTGCTTGTGGAGCTTGGACCTGTTGCTGCATGTGGGCCTGTGGCAGGATGGTATGGTAAGAGCCTGAGCATGAGGAATGAGCCTTCTGGGACAACTGACCTCCAAGCATATTGTACTGGGTCCGTTACTTAACAGCAGTGGCGAGTGAAACTACTAAGCTTAATCCCTTACTGCCCATAGTTATTGCCTATAGAGACTGCTCCATACTTAGAAGCCCATCAGCCATTGATTGTAAACTCTTAAAGGGACAGCTTCACGTGCACCACCTTACAGATTGGCCCCAACGACAACCGACTAATACTGACAATTAGGCATCAGGAACTTTGCAGCCACCTCTAGGGGTACCTCTTGCTTTGGCTTTATCTAACAACCACCAGTCTGTGGCCTATTTTCTGTGTATTGTTATAGAGTGCTAGCATACTAACGGTTAAATTGCACAGGCGTGAGCAGCTTTGACTGGCAATCAGGTGTATCAGTAGGAACTGAGCAGCTCAAAGAGCCGTGGCAGAAGAGAGAACCTATCATACCAAGTGACTCCTACTGGGGTAAGTGCTACATTATGATATGGGATTGGGGGGGGGTCCGCTTTAATGCAGCTGCAGTGTCTAATGGGTAGCAGCAATAGTTCACATCTATCTGAAGCTGCTTTTAAAGAGCTGATACGGTGGTGTCAGGCAGCAGAGGGATCCAACGGTTTGCTGAGGTGTATTTAATGATTTTGCAAAGGAAAATATAAGAGGTCTCTGCTTCTCTACCAAGCCAGTGTTCAATATATAATGTGATATCTCCTGCCCATAGGCGACTTCTTCACTCAGTACAAAGGCTTGTGATCCACCATGATGAAAGGATTGTCTATCAGAACCTCCAAGAAGGACATCTACAAGGCATTAAGACTTATTCCATCTCAGAAAAAGGTGTCTGTTCTGTACTATTACAAATATATCCTTCCATTCTTTTTTTAAACACACAATGGAAAGTGAAGGCTGGATTTTGGTTGCTCAAGGTAAAGAACCCCTGTTTAAACTGGCCTTTGTAAGAGGAGGCAACTGACATTACAGGCTGAAAATACCTTATGAAAAGAGACAATAGCCACATGGGCCATGAGCATTGCAAGGTCCGAAAACTGGCACATAAATTAAAATGTGGTGAGGTTTGTAAAATAACACGACAAAAGAAATAGCATTTTGACCTCTTGATCATTAAAATGTGCGGAAGTCATAAGGACACCCAAAACCACTTTATCCACCAACCCCTTTATATTGCTTACTTTTTAAAGCAGAGCTTCACCCAAAAAGGAAAGTGCAGCTTAACCTCTTCCTCTCCCCAGCCTCGAATACATTTGCACATTTAATTTTTTTTTTTTTTTTCAGGGAGCAGGTGCCTTTTTCTGACAGGTACCCACTCCCATTTCTCATTCCCCACCTAGGCGAGAATGTTGTATGTTTAGCCCGGGCGGACCCTGATGTAAAAGGGACTCTGATGAGATAAAGAACGTATAAGGAAATCCACTGCAATGCTTGAACAGATCCCCTGGGAAATGGCCAGTTTTAGCCTAGTATTCTATTTCTATAGAACAGGCTTTCTCCACTAAGGTTCAAAGGTTTCTAGAAGTATCTGGAGCAGTGGCAGATTCATCCCCCACCTACAATGACCACCATTGTAAGGGGATACTTTTCTCCTGACATTTTTAAGGCAGCCTTTCTCAACCAGAGTTACATGGAACCATAGGGTGCCAGGGGTTGCTTGAGTAGTGGTGGATCAAACTCCCACCTGATGGTACCTTCATAGTTTTGGCTTCAATGCCACTGGGCAAAGTCAAAGGCATGGGAACAGTGAAGCTCCACCTCTTTTTTGGTAGTTAAGTAACCACTAGCTCCATTGATCAAGTATACTGGCTCTGAAGGAACATATTCTTCCCACTGACCACCCATGTAAGGAGCATTCCTCCCACTGGCCACCAATATAAAGGGACATTCTTCCTAGTGACCACTAGTCTAAGGAGTACTCTTCCCAATGGCCACTAATCTGAGGAGCACTCTTTCCCACTGACCACCAATCTAAGGAGTACCCTTTCCACTGACCACCAATCTAAGGAGTACCCTTTCCACTGACCACCAATCTAAGGAGTACCCTTTCCACTGACCATCACCATATATAAATGTGGGCAGCACAGTGGCTATATGGTTAGCACTTCTGCCTGGCAGTACTAGGGTTGTTGGTTTGAATCCCAACCACAGCACCACCTGCCTGATGTAAAGCTCTGCATAAATTGACAGGGCTATATAAGTACCTGTAATAAATAAATAAGGGTCACTCTTCCCACTGGCCGCCAATCTAAGGAGCACTCTTCCCACTGGCCGCCAATCTAAGGAGCACTCTTCCCACTGACCGCCAATCTAAGGAGCACTCTTCCCACTGACCGCCAATCTAAGGAGCACTCTTCCCACTGACCGCCAATCTAAGGAGCACTCTTCCCACTGACCGCCAATCTAAGGAGCACTCTTCCCACTGACCGCCAATCTAAGGAGCACTCTTCCCACTGACCGCCAATCTAAGGAGCACTCTTCCCACTGACCGCCAATCTAAGGAGCACTCTTCCCACTGGCCGCCAATCTAAGGAGCACTCTTCCCACTGGCCACCAATCTAAGGAGCACTCTTCCCACTGACCACCAATCTAAGGAGCACTCTTCCCACTGACCACCAATCTAAGGAGCACTCTTCCCACTGGCCACCAATCTAAGGAGCATTCTTCCCACTGACCACCCATGTAAGGAGCATTCTTCCCACTGCCCACCCATGTAAGGAGCATTCTTCCCACTGACCCACAATGTAAGGGACATTCTTCCCACTGACCACCAACTTAAGGAGCATTCTTACCACTGACCACCAGTGTGAGAGGACCACCACTCGTTTCCCACCTATGTGGTACCGCCAATCTAAGGAGCACTCTTCCCACTGACCACCAATCTAAAGAGCACTCTTCCCACTGGCCACCAATCAAAGGAGCACTCTTCCCACTGACCACCAATCGAAGGAGCACTCTTTCCCACTGACCGCCAATCTAAGGAGCACTCTTCCCACTGACCGCCAATCTAAGGAGCACTCTTCCCACTGACAGCCAATGTAAGGAGCACTCTTCCCACTGACAGCCAATCTAAGGAGCACTCTTCCCACTGACCACCAATCTAAGGAGCACTCTTCCCACTGACCACCAATCTAAGGAGCACTCTTCCCACTGACCACCAATCTAAGGAGCACTCTTCCCACTGGCCACCAATCTAAGGAGAATTCTTCCCACTGACCACCCATGTAAGGAGCATTCTTCCCACTGACCACCCATGTAAGGAGCATTCTTCCCACTGACCCACAATGTAAGGGACATTCTTCCCACTGACCACCAACTTAAGGAGCATTCTTACCACTGACCACCAGTGTGAGAGGACCACCACTCGTTTCCCACCTATGTGGTACCGCCAATCTAAGGAGCACTCTTCCCACTGACCACCAATCTAAAGAGCACTCTTCCCACTGGCCACCAATCAAAGGAGCACTCTTCCCACTGACCACCAATCGAAGGAGCGCTCTTTCCCACTGACCACCAATCTAAGGAGCACTCTTTCCCACTGACCACCAATCTAAGGAGCGCTCTTCCCACTGACCACCAATCTAAGGAGCATTCTTCCCACTGCCCACCCATGTAAAGAGCATTCTTCCCACTGACCACCCATGTAGGGAGCATTCTTCCCACTGACCACCCATGTAAGGAGCATTCTTCCCACTGACCACCCATGTAGGGAGCATTCTTCCCACTGCCCACCAACCTAAGGAGCATTCTTACCACTGGCCACCAGTGTGAGATTACCACCACTCGTTTCCCACCTATGTGGTGTGGCTTACGTACCACAATTTGTAGATAAAATCATTTTTAGTAGGGGTTCCCCAATACTTGAACAATAACGCATGGGTTCCTCAGCTGTAACAAAGGTTGAGAAAGGCTGCTACAGTGTGTGGGAAGACTAAAAACCGTACACAAAACCCTCCACAGATAGAGGTGAGAAACAACATCAGAAGCCAAGTTCTGCTCGGTGACAATAACTGATAGGAGGAAATAATAAAGTAGAGCGCAGAAGTAAAAAAAATAAGATTTTCACAACTAACCAAACTTTCGGTCTAACTTGCTTATCAAGCACCAAGAAAACTTCCCGCACCCGGCACAGACGTTCCTGAACAGCAATAGTTGGCGATAGTCCTCGTCATTTTCTCTGTGTGAGATGAGCCCGTTAATCTGCAGAATTTTGCTCACGCCTCCTTTCTTGCTGACACAAATGTCTTCTGCTCAGCAGAGCATAATTTTCTATTTGTCAAGCATTTATGATGGTGGAATTTTTATTTTATAATAAGCATAAACTTTCCGCTGGGGCTAAAAAACTGCTTTTTATCACCAATAATGAAATTCCGCGAGGCCGCCACGTCACCTGGCGGAGAGGACAAACCTGCTCCTTTCCAAAAGACGACAAAAAAAGAAAAAAACAACACAATGAATAAAAATGTAACAAATAAAAAGGCAGCGTAAAGCCCGGTATGGGTCCGGAGAAATGCCGGCCGACGTCTACACGTGAATATAGATCTGGTGAAGAAAGGAAATAAGAGGAGCGCATTGTGATGAAGGAAATACAAAGAGAGCAAGACCTGAAAACATTGATTGCGGTGTCTGTGCCGATTCGCCGCCAGCATTGAGAGATAAAGGTTGTAGACATGATTGGCATTTACAGGGATAATGTGCTTATGTCGAAGGTATTGATGAATCAAAGAGGATATTAATAATGAAAGGGGAAAAAAAAAAAACGGCAAACTATCTCAAGTAGGAGCTGCTCTTCATGCTTCTTGCACGATTTAAGGATTCGATTGGCTCAGAGGAAAAAATGCTACATGGGGGAACATGACCTTTGGAGGGAAAAGAGAAAATGCTGATCGGTGGTTGAAGCTGATCTCTAGGCTCTTCCTCAGGGGCGGACTGACAAATCATGGGGCCCGTGTCCTTGCCCACACTCAAACCACACCCAAAAAAGCCTATGAAAGGTATCAGGGGCATCTCAAGGGGCCCCCTACTGACCCCGGGCCCTTGGGCAGTGCCCAAGTGCCTAAATGGTCAGTCCGCCCCTGCTCCTCCTATACCCCCTCTAATTTAAATTGTCTGCAACAGGGGTAGACTGACAACTCATGGGGCCCCCGGCAATAGGGGATCATGGGGCCCCTGTGTCCTCGCCCACACTCAAACCACACCCAAAAAAGCCTATGAAAAGGTACCAGGGGCATCAGGGACCCCGGGCCCTTGGGCATCTGCAAATGGGCCCCCTACTGATACCCCCTCTAATTTAAATTGTCTGCAACAGGGCCTGACAACTCGGGCAATAGTCATGCCCTCAAACCACACCCAAAAAAAAGCCTATACCAGGGGCATAACTGACCCCGGGCCCTGGACAGTGCCCGAGTGCTTAAATGGTCAGTCCGCCCCTGCTCCTCCTATACCCCCTCTAATTTAAATTGTCTGCAACAGGGGCAGACTGACAACTCATGGGGCCCCGGGCAATAGGGGATCATGGGGTCCCTGTGTCCTCACCCACACTCAAACCACACCCAAAAAAGCCTATGAAAAGGTACCAGGGGTATCACTTGGGGCCCCCTACTGACCTCAGGCCCTCGGGCAGTGCCCGATAGCTCGAATGGTCAGTCTGCCCCTGGTCTGCAATGTAGGCAGGTGGTAGAGTGGGTTCCCCTTTCACGGTGCCTCCTCCCCCCGGAAGAAGGATAGGAGACCAGGCCTAGAGGGGAGGTGGGCCAAACTGCAGAGGGAAAGGAAGAGGCAACACAAATCTGCTGTGCTCTCTCTCTCTTCCCTCCTGGGTGCCCTGGGCTCCCCCATTCTAACCCCAAGGAGAGACCGTGACTACGGGTCAGTGCAGACCCAGTAGAGGACTTTGAAAGTTGGTCTACCCCTCTGTTCCTCCTCCCTCCTTAGCCCAGGAAGAACATCAAGCCTACAGGGCGTGAGTGCCTTTCTGTAGAGACATGAGCAACCTCTGGCAGGGCCTGGGACCAAGAGTCCGTTTTGCTGTTTCAACAGTGGTTGGGTCTGCGACCCGTTGAAGCCATGTTATTAATGGAGGCTTTCTAGTAAAGAAGTTAACCACGTCCAGCCTCGTGGTGCCTTTATTCAATTGGAATGCTCCTCTAAAGGAAGTGAGAGAGTGAGTTCTACTGGTGTCCTCTAGCTGTTGGTCCTGGGAAAGGTAGGCCTGTATCTGGAACCTCTGGGAGTGAGGGGGCAAAGCTGCATAATCATGAGGGTGGACAGGAGGTTGGACTTCACCCGCCACCACACATCAGGAAGAGTCATGGGCAAAAGGTATCATATTGCCCTGAAGTACAGTTCAAGTTGCTGCTTGCTATGGCCACGTGCGAGGCAGCCTGCCACCTGCCAACAGCATGGATTGGGAAACCCCGCTCCAGCATAGGGTAGAATGGCTGAACAAGACTCTGTTGTAGCAACTGGGGCAGATGGTAGCAAAAGCCACGGAGTAGCTTGCCCACTCAAGTAGTGATGGTTAAATAAATAATAGTAATCCTTCCCCACCCTATCCTAAACAAGAACATGGTTTACTAGGATCCTCGGTTTGAATCCCAACAAAAGACTCTTCATGCATGAAATTTGCATGTTCTCCCTGTTGCATGTATTTCCTCCCACACTCCAAGACATACTGGTAGGTTCATTGGCTCCTGTCTAAATTGGCCCTAGTAGGTTAGCACAGGCAGTCGTAATGCACGTGCGCCCCCAGGGGCAGACTGACAACTCATGGGGCCCCCAGGCAATAGGGGATCATGGGGTCCCTGTGTCCTTGCCCACACTCAAAAAAGTCTATAAAAAAAGGGCCCCCTACTGACCCCGGGCCCTCGGGCAGTGCCCTCCTGCCCAACTCTCTGAATTGTGCTCTCCTGCCCCCAGTATTGTGCCCTCCTGCCCCCCCCATACTCTGTCCTCCTGACCCCCCCTGTACTGTACCCCTCTAGACCCCCCCTGTACTGTGTCCTCTTGCCGTATCTGAATTGTGCTCTCCTGCCCCTCTATGCCCTCCTGCCCCCTTTGCACTGGGCTCTCCTGCGCCCCCTGCCCTCCTGCTCCCTCTGCACTGTGCTCCCCTGCCCAACTCTCTGAATTGTGCTCTCCTGCCCCCAGTATTGTGCCCTCCTGCCCCCCCCCCCCCGTACTGTGTCCTCCTGACCCTCCTGTACTGTGCCCTCCTGACCCTCCCATACTGTGCCCTCCTGACCCCTCTGTACTGTGCCCTCCTGACCACACTGTATTGTGCCCTCCTGACCCTTCTGACCCCCCCATACTGTGCCCTCCTGACCCACCAGTATTGTGCCCTCCTGACCCCCCTGTACTGTGACCTCTTGACCTCTCTGTAATGTGCCATCCTGACCCTTCTGACCCCCCCCAGTACTGTGCCCTCCTTACCCCCTCAACTTTGCCCCTCTGACCCCCCTGTACTGTGCCCTTTTGACCCTTCTGTAATGTGCCCCCCTGATCCTTCTGACCTCTCCATACTGTGCCCTCCTGACCCCCCCTGTACTGTGCCCTCTTGATCCCTCTGTAATGTGCCCTCCTGGCCCCCCCCCCGTACTGTACCCTCCTGACCCTCCTGTACTGTGCCCTCCTGACCCTCCCCCATCCTGTGCCCCGCTGATCCCCCCCCCCCATACTGTGCCCTTCTGACACCCTTCCCTCTGTTCTACCAACTGTTTATATTGTTTGGATATTTGTGTTGATTAGTCTTTGATTTCCGGCACGTTTTCTTGTTTAAAATCAATTTTACTGAAAGTTCTAATAAATATCTGTTTAATTCTAGCAACTATTTAGACTTTAATTCCTGAGAGTGGGTGTGTAAATTGGGGTGGGCTTGTAGGGGCCCCAGTGCATTACTTTGCCCAGGGGGTCCACGATGCTATAAGAACGTTTGAGGGTAAGCATGTCCCATAGGGATCAGGGGCGGACTGACCATTTGGAAACTCAGGCACTGCCCGAGGCCCCAGGGTCAGTAGGGGGCCCCATGAGATGCACCTGGTACCTTTTTCATAGGCTATTTTGAGTTTGGGCAAGGACACAGGGGCCCCATGATCCCCTATTGCCCGGGGGCCCCATGAGTTGTCAGTCCACCCCTGATAGGGACTGTAGATTGTAAGCTCCTTGGGGGCAGGGACTGATGCGAATGTATAATATGATGTAAAGCGCCCTCTAAATTAAGGCCACTATATAAATACACGTTAACAGTTCCTCGTTTTGCAAAAAATATTGGAAATAAAAATGGCAACATAGTATTTGATTTAAAAAACGCCATAAGATCCGTCAGAAGGACGACGCGTGCCGCGTACACCGCATCATCGGAAAAGGAAGGTATATAAAGTCCGCGAGCAGCCGAGAGCAGTTCATTTAATAGGAGCCGTCCTGAGTTTCTTGGTCAGAGAAAAAGAGTGAGCGAGGCGGCTTGTGTCCTGAAGACTCCGTGATTAATGTCACATCTTGTGTCGGATTATTACATCCCAGCCCGAGATTGCTACCAGGGGATACGCGGCTTAGCAAGGCGCGCAAATAAAACTGGACCACACTTTTTTTTTTTTTCAGCCAAGGAGGAGAGCGCGGGCATTTTTCTGGTGTAAAAAAACGAAAACCGGTGAGCAAAGTCAAATGTTTGCACAACGTCTATATAACAAATATACGAGGACGGAGTCCTTGTTCCTCATCTGTTGACATTGCTATGGACATAAATATTGGATCCCTTCTGTTCCAATTTCGGGAACGTGATAAGGATTTACAAAATTTAAAAGGGCCTGCACATTGGTTCGAAATGAGCGCGCACATGGCACATGGCTACACCTGCTGGGCGTTCTCTGTGCTTTACGGAATAAAGGGAGCCGGCGCAGTTACGATATGTACAATGGCGTACAACCATACACCCTACTGGACTGGCAAGCCGATGTGTTTCGGAGACGTACCGCCTTCCTCAGAGCTTGTGCACCTCCGAAACGCGTCAGCTTGCCAGTTGTATGAACAATCAATTGTTGGTAATGCACTAGGCCAGGGCTTGAAATTTTCACTCGCTAAATGCAAGGGGAAATCCTTTTGTGGCAAGCACAGATGGAGCGGGTGGCTTGCAATGGAGCGGGTGGCTTGCAATGCGATCCTCAGGCCCCGAGGATCGATTTGCATTCCACTTGTGTTCCAAGCATTGTTGTGAAGCCATCTTCCGGTTTCCGACTTCTGGTGCCTTGAGGGACACCAGGCCCACTCTCCACCGCCTTGGGGGACACCAGGCCCGCTCTACACCCGCCTTGGGGGACACCAGGCCCGCTCTACACACCGCCTTGGGGGACACCAGGCCCGCTCTACACCGCCTTGGGGGACACCAGGCCCGCTCTACACCGCCTTGGGGGACACCAGGCCCGCTCTACACCGCCTTGGGGGACACCAGGCCCGCTCTCCACCGCCTTGGGGGACACCAGGCCCGCTCTCCACCGCCTTGGGGGACACCAGGCCCGCTCTCCACCGCCTTGGGGGACACCAGGCCCGCTCTCCACCGCCTTGGGGGACACCAGGCCCGCTCTCCACCGCCTTGGGGGACACCAGGCCCGCTCTCCACCGCCTTGGGGGACACCAGGCCCGCTCTCCACCGCCTTGGGGGACACCAGGCCCGCTCTCCACCGCCTTGGGGGACACCAGGCCCGCTCTCCACCGCCTTGGGGGACACCAGGCCCGCTCTCCACCGCCTTGGGGGACACCAGGCCCGCTCTCCACCGCCTTGGGGGACACCAGGCCCGCTCTCCACCGCCTTGGGGGACACCAGGCCCGCTCTCCACCGCCTTGGGGGACACCAGGCCCGCTCTCCACCGCCTTGGGGGACACAAGGCGGACCTGGGCAAGGTTGGGTGGGGCAACTGGTGGAGAGTAAGGTTTGTGCCTGGTTAGTAGGTCTAGACTCAAAATTTTAAGCCCTGCACTAGACGCATGCACCCTCCTGTTTGTTCTCTTTTTGTTTATACAAGATTTCCCCATCTGAGGAGGGCTGCATCAACTATACATTTCAGGTGGAGTTCATGGTCCATCATACATCGTTCATCCCACATCACTTGCCGTCTTCATAGCTTATCAACCAAACCGCTCTCTTCGATCCTCCCAAGACCTTCTGCTCTCCAGTTCCCGTGTCACCTCCTCCCATGCTTGCCCACAGGACTTCCCCCGAGCTTCTCCCATTCTATGGAACTCCCTACCCCAATCGATATCCCTATCTCCTAATCTATCCACCTTTAGCCGATCCCTGAAAACCCTTCTCTTTAACCACTTGCCTACCGGGCACTTATACCCCCCTTCCTGCCCAGGCCAATTTTCAGCTTTCAGTGCTCTCATATTTTGAATGACAATTGCGCAGTCATGCAACACTGTACACAAACAAAATTTTTATTGTTTGTTTTTTAGAGCTTTCTTTAGGTGGTATTTAATCCCTACTGGGGTTTTTTTTATTTTTTTTGCTAAATAAACTAAAAAACAAAAAAGAAAATTTTGAAAAAAAAAAAAAAGTTTTTCTTAGTTTCTGTTATAAAATTTTGTAAATAAGTAACTTTTCTCATATAGCCAGCTATGCGAACAATAAATTGTTGGTAATTCAATGGGCCCTTGCGCCCTCCTGTTTGTTTTCTTGGTAGTTTGTACAAGATTTCCCCATCTGAGGAGCGCTGCATCAATTATACATTTCAGGTGGAGTTCATGGTCCATCATACATCGTTCATCACACATCACTTTCTGCCTTCATAGCCTATCAAACAAACCGCTCTCTTCGATGCTCCCAATACCTTCTGCTCTCTAGTTCCTGTGTCACCTCCTCCCATGCTCGCCTTCAGGACTTCTCCCGAGCTTCTCCCATCCTATGGAACTCCCTACCCCAATCTGTCCGGCTGTCTCCTAATCTATCCACCTTTAGAGGATCCCTCAAAAAACTTCTCTCTTTAAAGAAGTCTATCCTGCCTCTAACTAGTAAACCGCCTTTTATTTCCTCCATCAGCCTCATCCCCCCACAGCTATTACCTTTTCTATCACTTGACCAGGGGGACAACTCATGGGGCCCCCGAGCAATAGGGGATCATGGGGCCCCTGTGTCCTTGCCCAAACTCAAAAAAGCTTATGAAAAAGGTACCATGGGCATCTCATGGAACCCTCTACTGACCCCGGGCCCTCGGGCAGTGCCCAAGTTTCAAAATGGTCAGTCCACCCCTGCACTCAACCCTTCCTCCTAGATTGTAAGCTCTGAGGATCAGGGCCCTCTGTTTCCTCTTGTACCAAAATTGTATTGTAACTCTGTCTGCCTTCATTTTGTACAGCGCTGCCATACTGTTGGCGCCATATAAATCCTGTATAATAATAGCCTTTGGTGGATCTCCGAGTGCTGATCGAGTTCTCTCGTGTGCATTCACTTCAATGGCCTGGCCTATGTGCGTTTGTTGCCCAAAAGCTCCTTTTTGGGCGACAAGCTTTGCGCGATTTTTAAGGGTGCATTTTGGTCGCGATTGTTGCCAGATTTTGTCGAACGATAATCGCGGCAAAGTGCGAATGACTCCAAGGTGGAACCAAAGGCCTAGACCTGTGCCAACATCAACACCTTCTTCTGAGTGGCAGTCTTTGGGGCTCTTGATTGGCTGGCGGGGAATGGCGCATACGCAGGAGGTCATCATTCCGGCACTCCGAGATTGTCC